TGACTTCAGGTTCCAGAGAGGAAGGTGGCAGCCAGCGGGGAGGGCAGGCTGTGCCACACAGGGTGAGAGAGAAAAGTCAGCTGTCATCTGGCACCTGTACGCTGGGGTTGGCTGGAAAGTGACTTCCACTAGTGCCCAAATATCGGGGTGGCTGTGTGATCTGATGTCCCTGCAGAAGCTTTAAGTACTGCAGTGGTGGCAGATGTTAACAGGCACCTGTCTGACACTGAAGGAGAAGGGCCAGGGGCACGTTTACTGAGCTGGGGGTGAGTTAGGCTCCGAGTGCTGGGATTCCACAGAGAAATTAGCGTGGGAAATGTTACACCACCTGCGGAGCAGGTAGTGAGGAGGGGGTGTGGTTTCCAGTGCAGGTGCAGCCCCCAGTGTTGCCACGGTTCTGTTTTTAAGGCAGTTCTGCATGCATGGGGTTGACTGCCGATGCTCATCAGGGTAGAAGGTCCCTGGCTGACTTTGTAGGGTTTTCACCTGGCTGCTGGGAACCTCATAAGAAGTGGGGCTTTGGCCTGGCTGGTGTAGCTCAATGGTTGAGCATCGACCCATGAACCAGGAGGTTAACGGTTTGATTCCTAGTCAGGGCACATGCTCCAATTGTGGGCTCGATCCCCAGTGGGAGGCACGCAGGAGGCAGCCTATCACGATTCTCTCTCATTGATAAGGGAGAGAGAGAGAAAGGAAGGAAGGAAGGAAGGAAGGAAGGAAGGAAAGAAAGAAAGAAAGAAAGAAAGAAAGAAAGAAAGAAAGAAAGAAAGAAAGAAAGAAAGAAGGAAGCCTGGCTTCGGGAGGGAGGCCCCGGGGATGTGCAGCACATCCCACCACGTTGCTATGCCCTCAGGCATGCTTGGAACCCCTGGTGGGGTCTTAACCCTGTTCTGGATCAGCGACCCCTTTGAGAACCTAGTGGAAAGTCTGAGTCATCTTCCTGGGGAAAAATGAACACAAACAAAAGTTTGTCATGTTCTCTCTTTGGGAGGGAGGGTATAGTAATTCAGGTTTTTTCCTGATCTTGGTTTAAACCCCACCCCCATTAGGGCTCAGGAAGTATAGTTGGGAGTGAGCGGGCAGGTCTCATGTTGGGGTGACCAGTTTCTCAGCTCAGTGAAACTGGTTCAGAGGCTGAGCAGGTGGAACTCGTGTGAGAGCTGACAAGGAAGGCCCTGGGGTGGGAGAGGTAGCAGGCGAAAGGGCGAGGGTCTCAGACTGGATTCTGCCTGATGGAGCTGGCATCCGAAGCATCTGGACTGACTGCATAGATGCTCCAGGCAGAGAAGCAGGGCACTGGGGACACGAGGGTAGGAGGTGGGGTGGTGGGGGCTGGGCATGCTCCACACCCCTCCAGGGCTTCCCACTGTCCCTAGGGCTGCAATGCTGGGTCTTCCAGTTGTCCAGTCGCCACCTGCTGGTCCAGGGCTCTGGTTCTGCTCTCGGAAGTGGACAAGCAGAGGGCAGTGGCCCTACTGACCGGTCTGATTTCTCCACTGCTCTCAGGGTGCAGGGTGCCTGGGTGGGCGGGGCTGCTGCCCTGAGCTTCCTTCCTCTCCCTACTTTGGAACTGCTTTTCTCTGCTACAGAACAGAATGACAGGGTTCATCTACACAAACACTTTGCACGGAAGAGCCTCCATTCGTCTTGTGTGGGTTCTGAAGCACTTTGTTCTGGATTGTTCTAGATTCATGATCCTGTTCCTCGAAGTATCTGGTGTGTCTCTGGCGCTCACTGTTGAATATCAGTTTCTAGGGGAAACATGTGGATGGTGGGGCTCTAGTCCATCACCTGTCAGGTCCCAGCCAGAAGTGCTGGTCCGCGGGCTCCTCAGGGTCAGGCTGGTGTCCCCTCTGCCTGCCTGTCAAGGCCACCCTGTTGGCCATTGTGCATCTTCCTTGGTGAAATGAAATGTCTATTTAAGTCCTTTGCCCATTTTTGAATCAGGTTATTTGTTGTTGAGTTTTGATGCCTTTCATTTCTTTTTCTTGACTGATTACTCTGGCTAGAACTTCTAGTACTATGATCCATAGCATTGGTGAGTGGGCATCCTTGTCTTGTTCTGAACTTTGAGCAAAAGCTTTCAGTCTTCCACCTCTGAGCATGATGTTCCCTGTGGAGTTTTCAACTATGGCTTTTATTATGTTCTGGCAGTTTCCTTCTATTGTTAGTTTATTGAGTGTGTTTTTGTTTGTTTGTTTTTTATCATGAAGTGTTGAAGTTGGTCAGATGGTTTATCTGCATCTTTTGAGATGATCATGTGTTTTTTTTTTCATTCTGTGAATGTGATGTATTACATTGATCTTCGTATGATCCTTGTATTCCAGGAATAAATCCCATTTGGTGTATAATCCTTTGAATGTGTTGCTGAATGCATTTTAATGTGTTTACTTTGCTAGTATTTTGTTGAGGATTTTTTTGTGTCAATGTTCATAAGGGATGTAAGTCTGTAGTTTTCTTTTTTTGTAGTGTCTTTATGTGGCCTTGGTGTCAGGGTTGTGCTGGCCTCATAGAATGAGTTAGGAAGTTTTCCCATTTCCAGGTTTTTGGGAAAACTTTGAGGAGGTTTGATGTTATTTCCAATTGAAATGGTGGAATTCACCAGTGAAGCCATCAGATACAGGGCTTTTCTTTGTTGGGAGCTTTTTTTATTACTGATTGAACCTCCTTGCTTTTGTTGTTGTTAATCCTTATCCGAGGATATTTCCCTTGTGATTTCTTCTTTGATCCATGGGCTGTTTAAGAGCATGCTATTTAATTTCTACGGTTTTGTGGGCTTTCCAGTTTTACTTTTGTTGATTCATAACTCATCTTCTTGTGGTCAGAGAAGATGCTTTGTATAATATCTGCCTTTTTAAATCTACTGAGATGGATCTGTGGTCTCACATGTCATGGAGAATGTCCCGTATGCACCAGAGGAGAATGTATATATTGCATGTGTCTGCTGGATCATGTTGGGTTAGTTTGTTGTTGAAGGCCTCTCTTTATTTATCCTCTGTCTGGTTGCTTGCTAATGCATTTTGAAGTTATTATATATAATTTATATTATTTTGAACAATTTAAATTCAGAATTCATAGTTAACCTCCAAAGAGGACCCAGAGTTTTTGTATCATTGGTGAATTTTCCGTGCTCTGTGAAGATTACATCTCGGTTGCCTTGCCCATTTTTATAGAGAAGAGAAAGAACACGAAACTCTGCTCTTTAGTGAGCTGACTGTGGACATAAACCCTCCAGGTCCGCAAGCTCTTAGCCAGTCACCTGATTCTCAGGTGACTAGATCTGTTTTTCTAAGAAAAACATAAAGATGCATTTGTTAGACTTGAGAGAGAATCATGGATTGGCTGCCTCTTGCACACCGCATACTGGAGATTGAGTCCACAACCTGGGCATGTGTCCTGACTGGGAATCGAACCGGTGACCTCTGGTTCATAGGTTGACGCTCAACCACTGAGCCATGCCAGCTGGGCTGAGCCAAAATAATTTTGAGGAAATTTAAGTTGATTTCAGTTTATGCTGATAATAGCTAACTTATATAGCAGCTTCTCCAGAATTGAAAATTGGCTTCCTGTTGATGTGAAACAAATATTTTAACATGATTTTTCATTTATAACCACCTGCCTGTTCTGAGAAAGACTTCAGCACAATCCCTGAGCTCTGTCTGGCCTCGGATGTGGGAATGGAAACTATCCTGGTCATGTGACTGCCCCAAGCCAGTCATTTTACCATTTCTTATACAACTTAGGTGATGGTTTTATTTTTAATTTATTGTTAATCCTCACCCGAGGATATTTTTTCCATTGATTTTTAAAGAGAGTGGAAGGGAGGGAACGAAGAGGGGAAGAGAGAGAGGAAAAAAAAAACATTGATGTCAAGGAGACACATAGATTGGTTGCCTCCCGCACACGTCCTGACCAGGGCCAGCAGCTCAGGTATGTGCCCTTGACCAGGAATCAAATCCAGCGCTCGAACTACTGAGCCACTAACCTTGACTGTAGCTGAAGATTTTAAAATAAAAATAACTCTTCAAATAATGATTACTTATTGATCTATTTATTGTTGGATATTTGTATTATGTTTCCTCTCATATTTTCTGAAATCATGAATTTTGTTATTTTTTAAATATATATATTTTATTGATTTTTTTACAGAGAGGAAGGGAGAGAGATAGGGAGTCAGAAACATCGATGAGAGAGAAACATCGATCAGCTGCCTCCTGCACATCTCCCACTGGGGATGTGCCCACAACCCAGGTACATGCCCTTAACTGGAATCAAACCTGGGACCTTTTAGTCCGCAGCCTCCCCCTGGGGATCGAGCCCACAACCTGGACATGTTCACTGACCAGGAATCAAACTTGACCTGGTTCATAGGTTGATGCTCAACCACTGAGCCACTCCAGCCAGGCAAATTTTGTTATTTTAAAATATTTTTGTTTTTGTTTTGTTTTAAATATATATTTTTTATTAATTTCAGAGAAGAAGGGAGAGGGAGAGAGAGAGATAGAAACATCAGTGATGAGAGAGAATCATTGATCAGCTGTCTCCTGCACGCCCCCCACTAGGATCGAGCCTGCAACCTTTGACTGGCATTGAACCCGGGACCCTTTAGTCGTAGGCTGACATTTTATCCACTGAGCCAAACCAGCGAGGCCTGTTTTTTTATTGGTTTTAGAGAGAAGAAAGGAGAGAGAGAAACTGATGTGAGAGAGAATCATTGATCAGTTGTCTCCCATACGTGCCCCGACTGGGGATCGAACCCACAAACTAGTTATATGCCCTGACCGGTAATCGAACCCACAGGCTTTTGGTGTAGGGGATGATGCTCCACCAACTGAGGCCCCTGGCCAGGCTCATGCATTTGTCATTAAATCATTAATTTTATTTCTTTGCTAAGATGTAATTGAGATTGATTTTAAAAAATGACAAATGGGTATTTGAAAAATGTTTCTAAGCCATAAAACTTCTGAAAGTTAAGTATGCCAAAATGTGTCTCCCCTTAGGTCTGCACCACCTATTGGATTTTACCCACAAAGCTCCCCGTGGGAAGCACCTGACACCGTCAATGTAGACCAGGCAATGATTCAGTAGGAGACTGCAGATCGGGGCAGGGCTCCTGGCTGCCGAGGATGAACGGGGACGAGGAGTTCTTTGATGCCGTCACAGGTGAGTGCAGAGAACGGACCCGGGTCTCAGACCTACTCTTCAGATGTGAGGATGGTCAGGAAAGCATGTTCCCAGGCTTGACTCCCAGATCTGGGGAGAAAGCTCAACTTTAGACGACAGGAGATAATAAGAAAGGGCAATTCAGTTTTTAGTCTTTAAAAGAGTTGCTCTTGCATGTAAATGCTCAAAGTTCAGTTATTTTCCATTTTCCCACAGCCATTCTAAGTAGTGGCACATAGCCTGTAGTTGGAAAGCTGCTCGGGTGTGCCCGAGTGGAAACAGCATTGCAGGGAGTGTTTGTGTAAGGGCGGTGGGGCAGCAGGCTGGGTCACTGGGCTGGGCAGGACACAAACTTAGAGCAGCCCCTTCCCCCCATCACAGTGACCACTTGAGGTCCAAAGCTCTTAAAGTTCAAGACGGCCATTCACTTTCTATCCGCCACCCTCAGGGCCCACTTTTGGAATCTTGTTTTGGATATCCAGATGTTAGTGATGGTCTTTCCAAGTGCAGTCAGGGGGTCACCTGTGCTGTTACCGCCAAAATGACATGGCACCCAGCACAGCACAAGGTTCTTTGTGACGGCTGTCACTGTCCCCTGAGCTTTGTCAGCACCTTCTCGAGGCATGCGTCCATCACCACCACGCTTCTCTTTCCCAAAGGAGGAGTGGGGGCCAGTGCATGGACAGGCAGCCCAGGTTACTGATTTATTCTTGTGGGAACCCCAGGAGGAAGGGGTCACTGAGCACGCCGCCATCCCTCAGGCGCGCCCTGTGGAGGTTCCCCCAGAGGTGTGTCTGTGACTCACCTGCTCTTCACACTTCAACTCTTGAGAGCTTGTTTGGAGGTTCTAGCAGGGGAGCGCAGCTACTCGTATACCCTTGACCGAAGACCGGTCCTCTCCTCGGGGGGGAAGGTCGTCCTCTTCGACCGAGCGCGCAGCTTCGGGAGGGACGCACATGGATCGGTGAGGGAGGAGGGGGACACCCGCCTAGCCAGCCAGATCAGCCGAATCAACCCTGGCGATCAATGGGGTGACAGATGTCGCAGCCAGATCGCCCTCACATCCCACACACTTCAACTCTTGATGAGACTGAGCTCCATTGGTGACAGGCTCAGGGACTTGCCTTCAGGCCTCCAGAGAGGCTGGCCTCCATGGGTCCCTCTCTCCTGGGAACCAGTGTGACCGAGACCATTGGCCATCTGAGTTTCTGCCAGAGGATTTTCCCAGAGAGGTCTGGAACTCACATGGTGTGGCGTTTGGGTGGTGCCTCTTGTCTGTCTGCACAGCAGCAATGCTCTGCATGGACTCAGGAAAGGCGAAAAAGACAGGTGAAATGATTTGTCACCTCCATCCTTTGGTTCCCAAACAAACAATGGGAGGAATGACAATGGGAAGGGTTCCCTTGCAGTGAAGTAGCCACAGAGACACAGAGCAGCCTGCTTCACTGTCTGGAGTACTGGGCTCCCCTTGTAACTCACCTAAAAAGTCTCTGAACCCAGCAGTTATTAAAGGAACTAGAGGCCTGGCGCATGAAATTTGCGTACTCGGGGTGGCGGGGGAGGGTTCCTCAGCCCAGCCTGTGCCTTCTCGTAGTCCGGGAGCCCTCAGGGGATGTCTGACTGATGGCTTAGGCCCACTTCCCATTGGGCTAAGCCGTCAGTCGGACATCCTTAGGGGAGGCGGGAGAGGCTCCCACCACTGCCACCGCTGCGCTCACCAGCTGTGAGCCCAGCTCAGGGCTTCCGGCTGAGCAGCACTCCCCTTGTGGGAGCGCACTGACCACCAGGAGGCAGCTCCTGCATTGAGCATCTGCCCTTGGTGGTCAGTGAGCATCATAGTGTCCAGTTGTTCTGCCGTTCTGACCAGCACTCCCCTTGTGGGAGCGCACTGACCACCAGGAGGCAGTTCCTGCGTTGAGCTTCTGCCCCATGTTGGTCAGTGCATGTCATAGCAACCGGTCATTCTGCCGTTTGGTCAATTTGCATATTAGCCTTATATTATATAGGATGACTTCAACAGGCAACCACTTCCTCCAGGATCCAGAACTGTTAGAATGAAAAGGTCTTCAAGTCCGTGAAACCGTGTACTGACTGAGGGTTAAAACTTCCCGAACTGGCCTGTTAGAAGGGGTTGTCTCTGAAGGATCAGATCACAAGTGATTTCAGGTTCCCTCTTTTCTGCAGTAAATACATGTTTACAGAGCACTGGCTTAATTTGAGGCAAGACCTCAACATAATTGTCAGCGACGTGTGGCCTGTTTACTGGTCACATGTCGGCTGTAGTTGAAGCGAACGGTCCACATGACTCTCTCAGCACTGAGGGAGGTGTGTGGAGATAGGCCGCCTGGCATAGGACAGTGGGCAGACCCTGCAGACATTCTCTTAAGTCAGGACGTTTCAAGCTAAGTGTAGACTGGGGGCCAAGTAGATGTGCTTTTGGGATTGGCTGGGAACATTAGAGGCTCTTTCAGAAGACAGTGGTCATTTAAGAGCTTCATTTTTAATATATCCTTTCAAAATCATTGTGCAATGAATCTCACCCCTACATTGTATAAATTTGTCAGTGTGGGAGAATATGAAAGAAGATATTTTGCTTATTCTCAGTGAGGCTTAGCAGCAGATGTTGTAGGTTTGGGGTCTGACAACAATTGGCTCCTAGCTTTACACCTGGGCCTTGCCTTACTTTCTGCGAAATGGCGCTGTTGGGGGAACCCTGAGCTCCTTGTGAGCACAGGCCCCTGCTGAAGTAGTCTGGGTCGTCACTGTCACTGGCAGGAGCCACCTCGCCCTGGTGGCCCAGCCCCTCTGCCTTGCTTGGGCGCAGAGTGCCCGTGCTCTAGTGCCTGCACCCGCTCTCTCGTGGAGGGAGCAGGCCCTCCTTCCCCACCATTGCCTGCTCCTTGGAGAGGAAGCCCTTTGCGGGGAGGGTCCCGATCACGGCCTAGTGGGCGCTCTTCTTGAGGAGTGTGGGTGGCCTGGAGAACATATTCAACTGTAGTTTACGTGAGGCCGAAATAGCTCATTTTCCCAGTTTTCTTTGCTGGGGAGGAGTACTCTAGTTAAACCAGTCACTTGCTCTCAGCGACCATCAGTCCGATTGGTTCTGGTAGTTGTTCAGCACAGTGTCCGCCTTCCTTAGAAACCAGTCCAGTGGGTTAGATCCTAAGATGAGGTGTGGAGCAGGACCGTAGACCTTGCGCAGAAAGGACATGCTGCCTCCTTGAGGGCCAGGTTAGAGCGCTGCAGAGGTGCCAGCCCAGAAGGGTGTGAGCCATTGAATAAAGCCACAGGAGCCCTGTTCTAGGGCCCTGAGGCTGAACCTCAGGTTAGCGACAGTCCCCAGCAGGCCCAAAGGAACCTGGTGTATGTGAAATTCTGGTCAGAGTGGACGGGCTGTCTCCCTTGGAAGCTCCCCAAAATGCTCCTTCTTCTCTGCCCTTAGTTCTTGGGAAGCAGACTGAATCTGAATGTGCCTGTAGAAGCATCTAGACCTTCAGGTATTCTGTTCCACAGAATTCTGGGAGGCAGGTTTTTATCTTCCACATCCTGCAAAAATGACCACTCTGTTTGTCTTGCGCAGGCTTTGATTCTGATAACTCTTCTGGGGAATTTTCAGAGGCCAGTCAGAGAGCCCCCGGAGGGCTGCCTGTGGACACCAGCAAAAGCAACGGCATTGGGGAAGCTGGGGAGAGGCCCCCGCAGGAGAATGGGATTCAGAGACACAGGTATGGTGTTCCACGTGTGTGATTTAGAATCTTCCAGTGTGTCCGCGATGGCCCCCAACACGCCGAGTCCTGAGGGCCATGCGGGCCAGCTCCTCTGACAGACCCAGCATCCCATGCAGCCAAGATTTCCAGAGATCAGTGATGGTACTGTGCCACCCTGCCCCACAGTGCTGGGAAGCCTGAGTGTAGCGGGCGGCCTGGTACCACACCTGGGCCTGGCACACTGCAGGGGGACCCTCCTTCAGTGCAGGGAGACCACATTCCAGTCTCCCAGTGTTGCGTTCACAGGCCAGGAGATGCTGATGGCAGTGACCCAATGCCCATCGGCGGGTGCAGCTCGTGAGGTGGTAGCAGTGGGAGGTGGGCCTCTGTTCCCCCGAGCTGGCTTGCATCTGGGCTCCAGGGCGCATCCACCTTCGTCCTGACCTGTTGTGAGCTTTAGGCCCAAATGCTTACTCCACCCCTGCCCTGGAGGACTCATACCCTTACTTGTCAGCTCGCTTGCTCTGCAGATGTTGGCACACCTCCTGCATGCTAAGGTGACCTGGCCCACGCAGGCCCAGCCTCTGCTGTCAGCCCCTCCTCCGCACCCTGCGACTGGTCCGTAACCAGACATTGGCGAGTCATCCCTGAAGCTGCCCCCTTTTCTCCCCTTCCCATTACCCAACTCTGACACACGCCTGGGCCCTTTCAGTCCTTCTGTCTGCTGTCACATCCACCCCACTCCCTAGGTCTCCTGCACTCACCCTGTAACTGCACCCACACCCCCTCTTTCTTCATGCTGCAGCAGCCACTTTTTCAGACAGGTCTAACCAGGCCACGTCCACACCCACCTCCATCCCCCACTTAAAACTCTCAGGTGGGTCCTGGCCAGTATGCTCAGTGTCAGCTCAAGCACTGAAGGGTCACAGGTTCCATTTCCATCAAGGGCATGTACCTGGGATGCAGGTTTTATCTCCAG